ATGAAGATGGGATGCTTCTAAACAATAAAGAAGAGATTCTGAAAAGATGGGCCAGTCATTTCGAAGAACTTCTAAATGATGGAAATGGAACAACAGCCATAGATGAAAGAAGTGCTGGAGAGGAAATAGAAGAAGATCTTGAAGCTTCTCCAGATCCAGAAGAGGTGATTGATGCTGCTGGTGGATTGAGGAATCACAAGTGCCCAGGATCGGATGAGATACCTGCGGAACTCCTCAAGTATGGCAGGCAAGAACTGCATAAGGAGCTGCATAATCTAATTCTCCTAGTATGGAATGATGAGGAGCTGCCAGACGAGTGAAAAAGGATACAATAAGTCCCATCCACAAGAAAGGGGACAGCACAATATGTTCTAATTATTGTGAGGTTTCCCTCCTCCCTAGCACGTACAAAGTCTTATCTGTTATCTTACATGACAGATTATCTCCTTATTCTGAGTGAATGATTGGAGAGTATCAGACAGTCTTTAGAAAAGGAAGATCCACTATTGATGAAGTGTTCGGGTTGAGGATGATAATGAAAAAAGGAATCGAGTACCGATTGCCAATCCATCATTTATTCCTGGATTTCAAGAATGCGTATGATAGCGTCAACCGATCAAATCTATATGAAGCTCTTGTTGAATTGGGGATCTCTTAAAAGATGACCAGACTGGTAAAGATGACCATGAAAGGATTCTGCAGCATGGTCAAAGTTCAGGGAGATCATTCTGGGGAGTTTTGGACAAGGTCTACACCAACCTGGAGAAGGCAGTTCGAGATTCAGAAATACAGACCTTGGGAACCATTATTCATCAAAGCGTACAGCTATGGGCCTTCGTGGACGATGTGGACATAATCGCGAGATCAAGACAAAGCTATGGAGGATGCCTTTCTTGCTCTTCAGTGCGCAGCACTGAATATTGGACTAGAAATCAACGAGACCAAAACCAAATATATGCTGATAAATGGTGAGAATAACATAGTGAACAGTAGGAAATTTCTCGTTTGAAAGGGTCCCAAATTTCGTGTATCTGGGAACGCTTGTCACCTCTTCAAACAACATACCCCTTGATCAATCAGCCAACCATTGCTATTTTGGGCTTACAAGGCAGATGAAGAGTTGCCTGCTCACCAGAGAAACCAAATTACACCTGTACAAGATCCGTTCTTACCTATGCTTCACAAACCTGGACACTAACTAAGGCAGATGAGAAATGTCTCCTAATTTTTGAAAAAAGAATATACGGCCGTGTTAGAGAAGGTGAAGCATGGAGAAGAAGGAGGAACCATGAACTCTACAGCTTGTACGGAGACATTGATGTAGTACAGTTCATCAAGGTGGGCAGGCTCAGTTGGGCAGGACATGTGGTATGCATGGCTGATGAGAGAATACCCAGAAGTTATGGAGTGGGTGCTGGACCTGAACAAGGAGAAGAGGAAGACCCAGGTTGAGATGGATCGAGGGTGTGGCCGCAGACTCGAGGATGATAATTTACCAACAGAACTGGAAGGTGGCGGCGAGAGACCGAGCTAGATGGCGGAAGCTCTTGGAGAAGGCCAAGACCCACCCCGGGTTGTAGAAACCATCGAAGTAAGTAAGTATAAGTTTTTACCAATTAATGAAATAATTGCCAGAAAAACTGTAGCCCTTTTCTGGTGAACCAGTCAAGCCATTTTTTTACATTTTCATAAGAAGTGAAGCACTGCTGAACAAGTGCTTGCTCCATCAATGCAAACAAATAATATTAGAGAAGTTGGTTGGGGGGTTCAGTAAAAAAAAAAAGTAAAAATATACAAATTATATTTATTTTTGTTGACTAAACACCCCAACCAACTTCTCTTCAATTTTAACTAATAGTCAACCATCAATCCACTATTAAGAATCTGCATACAAGGAGCCAACGACTAGATAACAGCCTTCCAACCACTTAACTTAGCCCTGACGAAAGACTGAACTTTGAGCCGATACATCGGCAAAAATAAAAATAAATATCATTTATTTAGTTTACTTTTTATTTTTCTGATTGAACATCCCAACCAACTCCTCTTTAATTTCCACTACAGTCAACCATCAATCCACTATTACAACAAAAAATAGTTGGGTTGAGCCAAGTCTGGCGAGTAAGCCATTTGCACTAATATTTCTAAACTGAACGCCTCAATCACCGATCCTGCTTCAATGGTTCTGCTGTGTGCGACGGTGAATTATCAGGAAACAAAATCACTTTGTGTTGTCGTTTTTAATATTTTAGTAGTTACAATACTCAATTCAAATTGATCAAATATAGTTGATAGCATTTAATATTAATAGATCGACTAGGTTTTAGCACCTTTGTTACAATAAAATATTATTTTCCATATTAAAAATTTTGAATAAAATCTGAACGTAAAAAGAAAAAAAAAAGAAATAATATCAATTATATTTATCTACATAATAAAATCAGCAATAATTGTAAACAATATTAATAATTATAATCAGGCTTTGGGATTTTTTTGGGAGTAGGCACCAAACTTGGATTTCTGTCAAGGTTTATATGTTTTTTTCTAGGTTTCATTTTATTTTAAATTAAACATCAATGTAACAAATATTTTCATAAAGATATTTATCAAGTTAGAACTATATGTTATATTCATTTATGCATAGTATATATTGTAATATAGACCTTAATTGAAAGTTGTTAAAAATGGCTTAATAAATGAATGTAACTGTTAAAAAGTAAGCTACTCTAGTTTCACTAGTTCAGGGAAAAGAATAAAGCTGCTCTATAGTTTTCCCAGAAAGGAAAATTCCAAAGAGGAGAGGGGACAAAGGATTTTGTTTGGACAAGCAGTTGGTGTTTGGCTGGGGTGAAGAGAGGATAGGAAAAGGGATCCTGGCTCCAGTGGGTAAAATCCAGTAATAGTATTACCATCTTGGAAGTTGTTTGATAGTCACTAGTTGTTTGGAATCACAAGAGAGAGGATCTCCCAGAGAGTTAGAGTTGAATAGATTAAAGTGTCGCCATTTTGGAAGATGTGTTTGGCAGAACATAGGAAAATGTTAGAAGACAAATAAGTTTAGTGCAACAAAGAAAGAAACAGTGTTTATAGAAAAAAATTAGATTGCCAATTCATACATGACTTTATTTTAAAATCAAACAGTGTTTAGTGTAGTTAATGTTAGTCTGTCTGAGTGTTTTGATCTGATTGTCATTAACCCACACCTGAGATAAAATAATTGTAAATTTCAGTTTATTATATTAATATTCTTATAATTTTGTTTTTTATTTAACAACTTCTTATTTATTTTGGAAGTACCCCAACAGTGAAAGTGATCTTACGAGGTTATATTATATTCCGAGAGATACAACATTATGGAGCCCAACGTGGAGCAATATTCTTTAAAATTAGGTCACGGCAATCAGATCACAACTCACAAAAACAATTTGTTTTAATTGTATAGTTTTTTATTAATAATTTTTGAGTAACATGGAGAATAACCAGAGATAGAGGTAATGGAAGGTAGAGATCTTAACAATATAATTCTTGGGAAATCTGATGGGGATGTTGTTATTGTACAAATAAGGCAGAGTCAGTCAAAGCCTACTTGATGAAAATAAACAATGTGAAAACTCTAACAGTAGTTGCATGGGAAATGAAAGTCTGTCGGAATTAAATGTAATTCATGAGTCTAGTGAAAATAATGTGGAGGGTGAAAAAAATAAATATAAGTAGCAGCAACAATTTGAATTGTACTGATACTAATAATATGTTTCAACAAATAATAGCTATGCTTCATAGTTTAGAGAAACTTTTGGATAATTTAAACAAGACATTAGAATCCAATAATAAACAGGAAATTTAGAAACAAGATTGTGATAACCTAGAAACCCAAATTATTGCAAATATAACTGAAGTTCAAGAAACTACACTGGCTGAGAAAACTTACTTTGGTCACTCAGAAAATCATGAGAAGCAAACTATTACTGAAGAGCTTAAAGACAAAGATAATGAAGGCCTAATAACCAATATGGAACCTAAGGGTAAAGAAATTAAGGATAATATAATAATATAGTGAAGAAGAAAAAGCTGCTATGGAAGGGCTAAAAGAAACTAATTCTACAATTAATAACGAAGTAGGTAATCTCTTAGGAAAAGAGAAAGAAAGTTTCAAGAAGATTCACTGATTGCAGAAGCCCAGATAGAATCTCACAATTACAAATATTAAGAACCAAGAAGAAGTTAAACTAATTGGAAATAAGATCCATAGGGTCCCAGTCAAAACTAATAAGAGTCCAAGCTTTACAAGTCATCTCAAGCTTCAAAATACACGAAAAACTTCAAAGATGAAGTCTACTAAAACAAATGGACTGAAGAAAAAATTACCGATAAAGTCTAAGAGTCCTTCATATAGAATAAGAATAATTCACTTTTATAGAATTGTGCCCACTGACCAAATTACTCCTTGTATTTTGGAATATGAGTGCTATAAAGCTTATATGGTTTTGGACCATGTTAGGATAGGCCGATTAATATAATATGTTAACTTATATATCAGTCTACTCAACTTATTTTCCCTGTACATAAATTATATGAAAAAGTTATGTAATTACTTTATGTAGTTTATATATTGTGTAAAATAGTTTAACATTAAGGTATGGTTTTCAATTTAATTTTAGTATTCATATGTTACTGTAATTTATTAGGTATGTGTCACAATGTCATGTGAATAATTCTTTAAGAAAAGAATCTGTAAGAAAAAGACAAAAGCAAAAAAAAAAACATAATAGTTAAGATGTAACTCAGAGGCACTCTTTAAAATTTTTTTTGTTTGTATTGAATGCGCAAAGTGCAGATGTTTCTTTGAAAATATTATTTAGTGGCTAAGGATTTCAACTGTAAATTTTGTTTTTTCAATTTCAATATAATCCTTATAACTATTGAGGCACCTTGAACAAAATGAAATCATATGAAACAGCTTCTTTCATAACCTTATGAGAAGAATTATGTTTAAAAATTACCTTTTTCATGATCATTTCATGATCTAAACCATAAATATTTGATGTCATAGATGGGAGATTAGTATATTGTGGTTCATCAGAAATAACATCATCCTCATCAGTTTCATCTGTTCCTTCTCTTTTTGATAAACTTAAAGTTTGAAACAAATGTTCAAGTTCCTCTATTTGATTTCTCTTTCGATCTGAAAAAATAATAATAATAATAATGACAATATAAATATTTATATATTTATACACTATGTTGAAGCCTAGTGATATGTTTACACTGACATAAATTATGTTTGAAAGATAAACACAAATAGAGAGTACGATTTACTAACCCTCCATGAAATTCTGAATCGAACGGTACCCCATCCATGCCATTTGAGCATGGCAGGAGCTTATATTTGGTACAAAACTGATTTTAAGCCTTAGCAAAATAATACAAGTGGGAATAATTCCAAAAATATTCCACACTAACGAAGCTTAGAAGAATAAATATTTAATTTTAAATTTAGTTACACAGAAAACAAAGCATTTATCAATTTTGTAATTATTAATAAAGTAATTAATTTGAAGTAGTATGTGCTTGATTATTTTATGTAATAGATTATAATGGTAATTTAAAGATGGTACACAAATAGGTAAGTTAAATAATATTTGAAATAAAAATTTCATGTTAACTGTGAAATAATAATGCATACTAACATTAAAAAAGATCTCAATATTGAACAAAAATGTTCAATCTTTTAAAAATAAGAAATAGTATATACTAACAATTTTCTCATTGCAGTGAGTAAGAACTAAATAATGAAATAAGGACATGTTTTGACTAAAGAACCAATAAATAAATAATAATTAAACTTGAAATAGTTATATTAAAGCATTCATTAAAAACCCCCCAAAAAATTACCTTTAATAAAACAAATTTTCGGAATGAATCCCATTAATTTAAGTTGTGAAAGCTCATGGTGAATTTTTGGTGCTGCTGTAAGCAAACGATGTTCAATATTCTCCTCATTATTCCAGATTTGAGTATACCAAAAAACATTAAGGTGTAGAAAATCAGGCGTGATAGCAACCTGAATGAGAAGAAATCATTTATGTAATATTTATCTTATCACAGTAAACAATAATATTGGTTTTTAATAGTATTTAATATAACATTTTTCTGTATTCTAAATAGGGGAAAAGTGAGATAATCTTAGAGAAATACCTAACAGTTTATAGTGTCATTTTTCACTAAAATGTTCACTTTTTCTACCCATAGATAGGAGTTTGAAATTTATTACATGAATCCACCAGAAAATTAAAGTAAAGAAACCCAGAATGGTTCCGAACCAGCTTCTGACTTGAGAGGGTACTGCCTATCACATTTAATATTTCTGAATTTGTATATAATATAATTGTGGGTTAATGGTTGACTGTCGTGAATAATGAAGAGAAGAATGATTGGGGTGATCAGTCAGAAATAAGAAGGCAAAAATAAATAATATTTATTTTGACATTTGCCGACGTTTCGACCTGAAGTTCAGGCCTTCATCAGGGCTAAGAAAAGAACCAGATAACAAGGTATGAGAAAACATAAATAATGTATTTATGTTTTCTGTATTTATGTTTTCATGTCAATAATTCTTTAAGAAAAGAATCTGTAAATAAAAGACAAAAGTAAAAATAAAAGTAATAGTTAAGATGATTACCTACAATAGGTACATTTACCTACATTAAGTAAAAAAAATTAAGTGAAATGAAGTGGGTAGAAAAATGACAATAGTAAGAACTAAGAGATAAATATTAATAACCATTACAAAGTGTAGAATGAAGAAGTAAACATAATCGAAAAAGGTGACATAAGTATTAAAATGGTAATCTTAGAATAAAATATAAAACAGAAAAAAAGGAATATGAAGTTATATAAGAAATAAAAATAAATAGTAAAATTAAAATATTGAAAATAGAAAAGTTAGATAGAAAATTGAGATATTGTGAAGTCAAATGATTAGAAGGTCGAGAAAAGGGAGAGAGTTATTGAGTTCGCGTTGTACTGTAAAGTTTAGGCGGGGGTGGTAAGAGTTTAAGGTTGATAGGATATCGGGACTTTTGTTTGGATTGATGATTAGGGGGGAGGATAGTAAACCCCAATCAGAATTATTTTTTTCTCAGAGAAATATTTATCCTCATGGAAAACGTTAGATCACAATTTTGGTCAAAACTTTGTTTTTGAAATCAAGAGTTCTGTTGTGTTTTCCTATGGGCCCCTAAGTGATGGTGAAAATATAGTGAACCTTTTCCCTAATAATTACCAAAGTAAAAAATATAACCTCGCAAGATCTGTATTAATATATTCGGTACGTTAAGATGGAAAACATTTTCGTTTTGCATTCTAGATTAAAATACTCTAATAATTATCGGTTGTACTCACATGAACGCAGTAAACATCAATCAGAATAATTTGTTTTTCGGAATAAATATTCATCCCTTTGGAATTAGAAAAGGTTCGATCACGATTTTGGTCGGAAATTTTTTTTATTTCAAGTGTTCTTCTAAGTTTTCGTATGGCCCCCCTAAGATTTCTAAAAGTTAATATGGTTAATCTTTGCCCTAAAATTGACCAAAAAAAAGATATAAGCCTCGCAAGATGCAAACAATTTTTTTCGAAACTTTGATGCTCGAGAACTTTTTCGTTACTCATCCTAGGTTAAAACAAACCAATAATTATCGGCTGTACTTGCTAAGGATCTATTGAAGCACCAATCAGAATATTTTTTTGCGACATACATTTTAACCCTTCGAACTTGGAAAACATTCTATCTCAATTTTGATCGAAAATTTTTTTTTGGATTTTAAGTGTTCTGTTGAGTTTTTCTTCGGCCATCTAAGAGTTTGGTTAATTAATATAATGAACCTTTGCCCTAATGTTGACCGAAAAATGATATAAGTCTCGCAAGTTGCAAATAAATAAAATCGCTACTTGGATGTTCGAAAACATTTTCTTTTTGCATTATAGATTTAAACACACCAATAATTACTGGTTCCACTCACTGGGATGCAGTAAACACCAATTAGAATAATTTTATTCAGAGATAAATTCTCATCTCTTCGGACTTGAAAGCTTTTCGATCACAATTTTGACCACAATGAAATTTGTTTTTTATTTTATGAATTTAGTTAAGTTTTCCTATGGCTCCCCTTAGAGTTCTTAAAATTAATACAGTGAACCATTGCTCTAAAGTTAGCCAAAAAAATTATATTGCCATATAATTGACCAAAAGAATGATATAAGAATCGAAAATTGCAAATAAATATATTCGGTACTTTGATGCTCGAAAATATGTTACATTTGCATTGGGAGGGGAGAGGATATTAAACTCTGATCAGAATTTTTTTTTCCGAGAGAAATATTTATTCTTTTGGACTGAGAATACATTAGATCTCAATTTTCTTCGAAACTTTGTTTTTGAAAACAAGAGTTCTTTTGAGTTTTCCTATGGGCCCCTAAGTGATAGTGAATATATAGTGAACCTTGTCCCTAATAATTACCAAAGTTAAAGATATAACCTCGCAAGATCTGTCTTAATATATTCGGTATTTTAACGATGGAAAACATTTTCGTTTCGCATTCTAGATTAAAACACACTAAAACTCACATTAACGCAGTAAACACCAATCAGAATAATTTGTTTTTCAGAATAATAATAGTCTAATTTTCACTTTGTCTTATTTATTTTGGAAGGCAAAATTGTTTTATGCAATTTAAAATAGCGAGGAATGGGTACTCTTCTCTGTGAACCCGCCGCCACAAAAACTCGCACAAATATGAATCGAGGTGTTGTCTGGCAGTTCCTCTATGTACTTTATTTCTCCACTTCGCTGAGCCCCATATCGTTCTATGTGTTGAGTATGAACCCCAGTTGATGGATCGACAAAATTATAATATTATAAGATCCATAATATGACAAAAATAATGAAAAATAAACACAAACGGGTCAAAAGTAAAGAATTTAATAAGTGAACGTAATAAGGGAATAACTGAAAACAAAACAATGCAATAACTCAAAGGTTTGGTGGGATAAGAAGAGGGAGGTTATGTGACGTGGCGTTAGATAAGATAGATAAGAAGTGAGGTTTCATGCCAGCCTGCTAGTCAAAAAGTACCCGAATATTGAAAAAGTACCCCTCAGAAATATTTTTATTTTTATTTTAAACTTTTTTTATTCTTGCATAAATTATTTAGAACTTTATTTGATTTTTTTGTCAATCTTTATCAATTTATCCAAACAAAGGTGATATTTATATTTTCTCATGTTATAAATTAATTTTAACTGAATATTTATTTCGAAATATTGGAAATTAATTTTTTTATCTCAGTTTATTTTATGTTTACATTGTTTTTTATATTTCTAAACTTGATTTTATGCCAAAAAAATGTTACATCCTATCCTTCATCCTCTGATCATTTTTTCCTAAATTCAACTTCCCAACTCTCCAGTCATGACTAATATCCTAAATTCCTGTCACATCAATGCACAATCCTTTACTGCACACTACATGGAATTTCAGAATAATAAATAATTTTGATAATTTTGATACTTGATAATTTTTATCACAGAATAGCATATCTAAAGCCTTAGCATTATCTAAAGCCTGGTTAAAATCTTTTATCCCTTCCTCCCAGATTTCCCTACCCAATTATTCTTTCTTACGCCACGACAGATCTGATCGCACGGAAGGTGGTGTCGGATTGTATGTCCACGACAATCTTAAGGCCAAAATCCTCACATGGAATACATTTTCGTTGAAATTTACTCTATTACCTCTCCTCTATTATTTGCCGTAGTTTACCACCCTCCTCGTGTTCCATTTAATAACTTCTTTGAATCCTCCCTTGTCAACCCGGTCAACAATATTATTATCACCAGCGATTTCAACGTGAATATGCTTTCACAATCTCCTGAAAAATACTTCCTAACTGACCTACTGTTTTCCCTTAATCTTTATCTTGTTTCTTATTCTCCTACCCACCACATGCAATTTTCCGACACCTGATTAGACCTCTATATCTCTGACTCACACATCAAAATCTTCTCCTCTTCTCAACACCCAGTTCCATTTCATTCATCACACGACCTGATCCAAATTACATACGACCTACCCGTGAAATCCTTTACACCCAAAATAGTTTCAAACGTAATTTAAACCTTCTGTCCTATGAATCCCTACAACCTGACCTTGATTCTTTCCAATGGGACATCATATCTTCCTCTGACTCCATTGATCCTATGGTACCTACCCTAACCTCAAACCTACAATACTTATTAGACACCCATGCTCCTATGAAAACAAAAACCTTACGTCGTCCCACTGCACCTTGGCTGACTCCTGAAATAAAGAAAATGATGAAAAGAAGGGATGTAGCAAGGGGCAAATAACGTCGATCCCGTTTACCAGCTGATTATGCGTCTTTTAAGAAATTTCGCAATGGAACCCAATCCACAATCTGACTTGCTAAAGCCACCTACTTTCATAATGCCCTTTCCACTGCTGCTGATTCCAAATCCAAATTGAAAATACTCCATAACCTATCACTACCAGAATCCAATAAACTCATTTCCATCCCAGTGACTCCAGATGATCTCAATGACCATTTTCTATCCTTCACTCACCATTCTTCTCCTACTTTCGATATTAAACATCACAACTTCAATCCTGAAGACTTCTTTTTCTCCCATGTGACCTACAATGATTTACTTTCCACTATCCTAAAATCCCACACAAATGATTATGGTCCTGATAATATCCCAGTAAAACTAATTAAATCCAGCCTTCCTGCCCTTATTCCTGTTCTTTACCATATCTACAACTTTTCATTGCAAAACTCTACATTCCCATCCTCCTGGAAAACTGCCCTAGTCCGACCTTTGAATAAACTTCCCAATCCTACCTCAATGCATGATTTCCATCTTATTTCTCTCCTATCCAACCTTTCAAAGCCGTTAGAACGCCTTGTCCAAAATCAACTCTCCAACTTCCTAGAAGGATGTTCCCTTAACAACCAATTCCAATCTGGCTTTCGACCTGGTTACTCAACGCAATCCACTATCCTTAAAATAACCCATGACCTCCATAACTCAATTGAACACCAAAACCTTACCATCTTCATCCATTTTTCCAAAGCGTTCGACACAGTTGACCATAACATCCTCCTTACGAAATTGCACAATCTTCCTCTATCCAACAGTGCCCTGCGTTGGTTCAAATCCTTCCTTTTAAATCGGTCCCAGGTCAACTTCCATCTAAGACTACCTCTTCCCCTCTCGTGTGGTGTCCCTCTCTATCTCCTTCTCTGTTTGCTATTTACATTAATGACCTTCCCCTCCTGATCCGTCACTCCCAATACCATATCTATGCAGATGATTTCCAAATATACCTGTCCTTCCCGTCCTCTGACCTATTATCAGCCACAGAAAAACTTCAAGAAGACTTGGATAAGATTTGTGACTGGGCGAGAGCCAAAAAGTTGAAGCTGAATGCAGAAAAGACAAAGGAAATCTTAATTGGCTCCAATCACTTCCTTAAACGTGTTTCACATATTCTAACTGTATTCCTACATGATAATCCCATCAAATTTTATCCCTCTATCAAAAACCTTGGAATAACCTTTGAGCAAACGCTTTCCTGGAAAAACCATTTATCCAACATTTCCACCTTAAAACGCCTAAACTACTTCCGTCACCTATTTCCCCTTGAAACCCGTAAGCTCCTGGTCACTTCCTTAATTTTTCCCCACTTTGACTATTGTTGTACAGTATATGGGGGTATCTCTGGGGATCTCGAGGCGAAACTAAAACGTTTGATAAATTGCTTTGTATAATTTATCTTCGGGATCCCAAGGGATGCCTCTGTTTACCGTTTTTTATGTAGAGTTGAAGTGGCTTTACCCTTCCTACCGTCGTAATTATTTTCTGGCATCCTTCCTCTTTCAAGTCATCCAATCCCACCGACCTTCATACATCTCGGAGCTCCTCCAATTCAAATCCTCTGTTTGCTCCCGCAATACTCGTTCCAGGTCTTCAGATTTATACATAAGAGCCCACCGAACCGCTGCTTTTGACAGATCATTCATTATCCGATTCTCATCCCTATGGAACTCCATCCCTTCCCACATCCGTCAATCCAATACCCTTCCTACCTTTAAATCCCGCCTGTTCAATCATTTCTTATCCATCCAGTCCCCATAAAATTGTAAATAGATACCACAGTAAATATGTATATAAATTATTAGATCGTTCTTCATTATTTTTACTTTATTTTCAATTTTATATTATTAAATTATTTAAGCTAGAAAGTAACTTATAATTTTTTATTATGACTATTTAATTACTCAGCATTTTTTTTATGTATCTCTGAGCCTCCTTAGCCCATTTCTGTCCTGTATTATTCTAAAGGGACTCGTCCCAGAATAAATAAAGTATTATTATTATATTTAGGAACAACAACAGGAGTTCTGTGGTTCTTCTGATGGGGCTACACCTTTTTCTTCTTCTTTATTTATTTTTATTTTTAAATTAAAATTAGAAATAGATATGTATAACAATAATGATTATGTAGAAGACCATATAAGAGTAGCAACCCTTCCACCAGATTCAGGTGTTTTGGGTAAATTAACCATTCCACCCATTGGTCAAAATGTTCATGATGTATCACTGTGAGGGAGATGGTACTTGCATGTATTTTCAATAATTTTTTTTTTGTTGGTGAAGATTAGTTTACAACAATAAAAATTTGAAGGAATTTTGGCCTTAGGAAAAAGTCCTTAATTTTCGTTATGTATATTGCTAAGATAATTTGAATTAAAGAAAAGTGGAGGGTGTGGAGCTACATCATTCCAATCCTAGTGCCTAGCTCATACCATTGGGTAACTTATAGCTTTCAACTTAATCCAGTATTTCCAGCTTCAAAACTTACTCCAAAGGAATATCTTTCGGTATTTTATCTAACCTTAACATCTCTTAATAGAAATTTTTAGTTTAAAATGTATTTTATTAATCATTTGAAATGGTTTGGCCATGCCTCTTGAATACCAGAGAATTCAATGGCTAGGATAGCGTTGGAAAGTAAAGTTGAGGGAAGAAGACCTTAGGGAAGACCTGGGAGGTCAGTGTCAAGGAAGCCTTTGAAAGAAGGGATATTGACTGGAGGAGGAGGCGGCAGATAGCTCAGGATCGACAGTTGAGAATTCGGCTCTACAAAAAGGCTCCTCACACTGCTCAACAGTAGAACAGGAAACGATTAAGAAGATGTATTTTATTGGTTTTCATTAATGCATGTTTATAAAGGTAGGGCTAAGAGATGATTGATAGCATCATGTTTGGCAGAGGCATATTTCACACCATTTCACACTCCCAGTCCCCACTATACCTTCAAGACTACGGTAAGTTTTAGACTAAATTTGAAACTTTGTTATTATTTGAAAAGTACAATCTCAATTTTATATTTTATTACTTGAATTCTCATCCAGTTCAAATTTACATGTTTGTTATTTTTGTTTTCCATGCAAGTTCAATATTTCTACCAACCATTCCTCAAATCAATGATCCAGGAGACACTCACAAAGCCTCAATGGTATGAAGACCAATGTGAATAAGATAATGGCTTAATTTTTAAGAATTTAACAACTAATAAAACAAACTTTTACAATAGGTACTTGGTATAAGCTAATCCTTAGGAGTTTAATATTTCAACACTAAATGTTATTTGAACTCAGTATAATAATTAATAAGCTTTAATTGATTTAACATCAGTTTACAAAATATAGACTTCAGCTAAATAACATTGGCTAGTGTTATTATTATTATTTTCTTATAAAAACAACTGTAGAGTGCAATGGATTTAATGCAAACATAAACCAACCTTAGAAATTTCTAAACCCAAATCCATTAGCAAAGGGTCAATATTTCCAGTTGACAATATATCTGTAATATTCTTCATGAATAGTTTGTTTAATACAGCTACACGCCTTTTATTTATAACTTTAGCATTTTTTTCAGGAAATAGAGTAGGTGTTGCAACATTCACAACTTTATAATGCCTAAAAATATATATATAATAAATATTAAATTATGATTATTATTAGAACCAGTCTTCAAATGACTGGCATATCTGAAACAGCATTACATTAAAATATATAGTAACCAAAAATGGAAAATATATTATTAATAATGTTTTCTAATATTTAAATTTAAATTTCCAGTATTTTTTTTTTAATATTATATAGTGGCAGGAATTTTCAGGCCATAAGCTATATGATTGTGAAATAATAATATTTTAATATTAATTTGATTTCTCATTTTTTCAATGAGAAACCATTATGAATCCAAGGACATAAACAGAATGTTAAATGCTAAATCAAACTCAAGATAGAAAAAAATCTGCTCTATTAATACTGCCGAACCAAAAGACCATCTGCAGTTCAAGACTAAAAATTTGAACAAACTAAGAGCTGTCAAAACAGGCCAAAATAAGAATATATAAAACTCTTATTAGACCAGTGCTCACATACGGCTGTGAGAGTTGGACCTTAACTAAAGCAGTTGAGAAATCCCTGCTCAGATTTGAAAGGAGGATTATACGGCGCATATTTGGAGGGGTCCAGGAAACACGAATTTGGGAATAAAGACATTGTTTAATGACCTGGATGTGAGCCAATTCATCGTACTGGCAAGACTACGCTGGACGGGACATGTCGCACGGATGGATATGAATGCACCCCCACAGAGAGCTATGAATGAGCCTGTGTTTGGAAACAGACGAGTGGGAATTCTCATTTTTTCAATGAAAAACCATTACGAATCCAAGGACATAAACAGAATGTTAAATGCTAAATCAAACTCAAACAGACAGAAAAATCTGCTCCTTTAATACTGCCGAACCAAAAGACCATCTACAGTTCAAGACTCAAAATTTGAACAAACTAAGAGCTGTCAGTTATCTCAGAGTAGTAAGTGATGACTTTGCAAAGATATACATAAAAGATGCTGACATCATTATTAAATCTAATGAAGTTTATGGAGCACGTAACTGTCTTGTGACTAGGCACTGGGTCAGTTTTTGATTCAAGGCAGCAAATTGGTCGAACCAAGAAATAAGTACTATAAGAAATTTATTGCTGAATCCAAGGAAAACATTAGTGCATAAAATATATTAAAAATAGATACTACGGAAAAATTAAATCAACTATATTATTTCATAAAAAGGTCATTGATTAAACAGTTAAGTGGTATAGTTTTTTTTATTTAAGAGTTTCTTCCATATGAAGTTTTCCTCAATCGAACGACTTCTTTAAGAAGTCTCTCCATCTCTGCCGATCCATTGTATCCTCCTCCGACAGTCCCCTACCAACCATACTCTCCACAACTCTATCCTTCCATCTCACTGGGGGTCTTCCTCTCCTTCATTGACCCTCTGCCTCCCAATTCATAAATATCTTTTGTATCCTATCGTCAACCACTCGTCTCACATGGCCTTTTTTGACCACCTGAGTCTTTTTTGTTCCATTACCTCTATGAGGATTTGCTTTCTTTCCAATCTCTCCATTATAGAGGCATTTCTTACCCTTTCAATCCTTGATATCCTAGAGCAGCTCTCCTCCAAAAATACATTTCATTTAAAAGGAATTTTTTTCCCTGGGTCAAACTGAGAGGCCATGTCTCCGAACCATACAGCATTAAGCTTTCTACCAAAGCTTTATATATTATCTATTTCATTTTTATTAAAATATTGTTGCTCCAGAGTAAATAATTAAGCATTCCCACTGCTATTTTTTACTATTTGTGATATTTTTTTGGATTTCTTCCTCTATTATCCCATTACTTTCAATTATGGATCTCAAATAACAAAATTGTTCCACTTTACTCAGGTTGTATAACGCTGGGTCGATGCCCTTTTTTTTTCCCCGTGTAGATATATTTGGTTTTGCTATACTTTATTTGGAGGATCCTTGTTCATAATGATCTATTGTTTTTCTAATTGGTAAATGGTTGACTGTCGTGGATAATGAAGAGAAGAATAGTTGGAGTGGTCAGTCAAAAAAGAAGGCAAAAATAAATGATAATATTTATTTTTACATATGCCGACGTTTCGACCCGAAGTTCAGGCCTTCATCAGGGCTAAGAAAATAACCAGATAACAAGGTATGAGAAACATAAGTAGTGATGGTAAAAAAAAAAAATAAAGAAAAAAAATAAATAAATAAATAAAGTAAAATGAAATTGTTAATATAATGACAATAGTAAGAACTAAGAGATAAATAATAATAACTGTTACAAAGTGTGGAATGATGAAGTAAGCATAATCAAAAAGGGTGACATAAGTGTTAAAATGGGAATCTTAGAATAAAATGTAAAACATAAAAAAGAAATATGAAGTTATATAAGAAATGAAAATAAATAGTAAAATTAAGACATTGAGAATGGAGTAGTTAGATAGAAAATTGAGATATTGTAAAGTCTATCAAGATGTACAGACAATGTATAATATAATAAAGAGTTAAAAACAGAGAAAAGGAATGAAAGGAAAGAAGGAAGAAACTGAGAAAGCTGAAATAAGAAATAAATAAATGAAGTACTACCTGTCTCCATAAGTGTTGCAGGGAGAATAAAAGTCGTAGCAAGGGAGGGGGAGAGAGAAGAGATGTGTATGTGGCGTCATCTCTAACGGTTATCTGACGAAGTTTGAACTAAAGTACCGGAAGTCGGGGTCAAACGTCTTCGGGTCGAAACGTCGGCATATGTAAAAATAAATATTATCATTTATTTTGGCCTTATTTTTTGACTGACCACCCCAACTATTCTTCTCTTTATTATTTTTCTAAATAGGTAGCTAATATCTTCTTCATCTTGTGGAATCAAAGTGGTATATTTAATCACTATAAACAGATGTTAATGCATATTTATATTGTTATTTATTTAATACCTCTAGAATATTTTAACAAAAATATTACTGAAAAAATTGTTTTATTAATTATATATATAAATATATATATATATATATATATATATATATATATATATTGGGTTGGCAAATAAATCCTTTCGGTTTTTTTAGGGTGAAATAAAACTCAATATATTATAGACATAAAATTAATTTTAATCTGCAATATATTGACCGTTATTTAATATAACTTTCCCATCTTTCCACTAACTGTATAATGTCATGTTTACAGAATGTCTGGAGTTTATTGTTAAAAAAACTGATCCAAGTGGTTTTTGATGTCCTCTTCCTTTTGCAATTTCTTTCCATTCATGGAGTTCTGCACAGACTGGAATAAGTGGTAGTCACTTGGAGCTAGGACAGGTGAATAGGGAGGTTGGGGTAAAAGGTCCCATCCAAGGCTCAATAATTTATTGCGAGCGACCAATGAGGTGTGGGACCTAGGGTTGTCTTGGTGGAACACAACACCCTTCCGATCACTCATAACTCTTCAGGATGTTCTCCAAATTCGATGTTACTATATCCATTGGAAAGCTGAATTATTGCTCTTCAAAGCTGTATGAATGTTTTTTTGTATTAATGTCTACGTAAGGAATAAATAAACAAAAACTCCTCGTATGTTTTTATTTTTTATCTCCATTTGTAGATTGTTTACAAAGGTCCTGTTGATGTCATATTGTGTAGTTTGTGTGTCACTAAATTTCTTGTAGATAGGTAAAGTCGTATTGAAGTTATAACATTTTTTGTGATTTAAAAAAAAAAAATCATATGAGGGATCTAAACATTAAGCCTGGAAACATAGCTTAGCTTGTGCAAATGTTCGTCTACGCTTGTGTGAGACACATTTAGGGCCATAGCAATCTCTCGCACTGATTGGGCAGGAATTTGATCAACAATGGCCTTAACATTGCTCGTTTCAATTTCATGTGGGCGACTAGACCGCTGAACAACATTGATGTCAAAATTTCCTGAATGAAATTTGGCAAACCAATTTTTAAAGTTGCGTTCGATTAAGGCATCATCTCCATAAACACTGCAAATTTTTCTATGAGCTTCTGCAGCACGCTTACCTTTTTTAAAATAATAACCCACTACATTACACTTAAACCCACTAGCGGTTTAGTTTTACACATGAAAATAGTTTTTAAATTACACCAATGTTTCCTATTATGAAAATATAGACATAATTCACAATCCCTACAACAGGTAGGGGCATTAGCGCCAGTTCCTGAGACACTGGGCTTCTATGTAATATTCTAAATGGACTTTGTCTCAGAATAATAAATAAAAAAATTCATTCATTCATTTGATTCACTTCAACACATTCCTACTACTTTTTTTTTTCGGTTTGGGTCCTAGTAGCCCTAAATTACGGAACATAAGGGATCATGTGCACTATTTCTACAGATGTGATAAAAAGACTTGGCTGAGCTCCCAGCACTAAAAGTTAAGAAAGTTAAGGCTAACAATAATAAAAAATCCATAATTGTTGACTAAAGAAATTGTTTCAAAAGTGGGAGTAAAATAGGACTAGTGCATTGAATAATGAGATTAAGAAATATTGCAAAGAAAACTATCTTGTCTTTCAATAGATTATATTTATTTATAATCTTATGGAGGCAAAGTTTATGGAATGTAATATAGAGGAAAAACAAAAATCATTTGGATATTGAATATTCATAATGTTTTTTTATAGAGAAAAAAAGAGATATTTACATAAGGTTTCCAGACGGATACTGTCATCAGTACTGAATTAGGACACGGTTAAAACTTTTATTCAAATTAAGTAAAAAAGGACAACTACAAAATTCAGATACTCATCACATTAAAAATGTAATACGTTACTTTTTTAAATAAGATTTTATTTACAACAAACAATGGAAAAAACACATAGTAAAACCTACAAATATCAACTTGAGATTTCCCTGTTTTAGCAAATAAAGGTCATTATTTCAAAATAAATATAATTGTTGGTACTCTAGAAATAGAATTATTCACCAAAAGACTCAGGCTCAAAATTCCATTAAGTGCACCTAAACATAATAAAGATGTTTACTTAAGATATCTTTAATACAACAAATACTAGTACATGGGTACTTGAAAAATATAAAATAATAATATATTACTTTTTGATGGTATTTCTCGACATGATTTTGCTCATGAAGCGGGATTCTCTTGAATATTTAGCAAATAGTACTGGTGTTCCAGAAAAGGATCTGGCAAACACCTTGCTGCATTGATTCGGCAACATTATTGAGTCTAAGTTTAAGAAATGCAAAATTTACAAATTTGAACTGAATTCTACTGTGTCCAAAACGATAACACTACAAAGAGGACAAAATTAGAAACTTGATAACAACATGGAGCTAAAGCGTCCTTACATGGTCAATAGTTCAGTACCTATATTTTTTAGGGTCTGTATTCTTTGGCAGGGATTAATATTTAAGGCCTCCCTAAAAAAAATAATTAATGAAATTTAAATATAAATAACCAACGATTTTTTTTTTATAAAACTTCTGATTAAAGAAAAAATATATATTTAATATTTTTTAGGTAAAACTATCTATAGCTATAGGTGCTATCCGCTCCAGCCCCTCTAATAGCTTATGTATCGAATCTGGAGAACCTCCATTAGACTTAAGACGAAAACAACTGGATCATATCTACTCCACTAAAATCTTGTCTGCTTCCAACCATCCTTTGACTTATCTCTACCCAAATAGACAGTATTTAACCGCACTACAAAGTTCTTCGTCAAAGAGATCATCCTTCATAGTCCGAGTTACAGTATCAGTACTTGACCTAAATCTTGAAATACCTACCTTTCATGAAACTGTAATATCACAAACTCATTCATGGGGACTTCCCGCTTCGAAAATCTGCCTTACAATCACAAAACTACTCAAAAACAATGCTTTGCCATACGAATATAAACATGAGTATAACAGATTACATGAAAGACGGGAATGCTGACTATGTCTACACGGACGGATCCACTACAGGTGTGGAAGTCTCGATTGTGTGTAATGGTTGACAACATAATTACTCTATATCACCCATCTGTAGCGTTTATACCGCTGAAAATGTTGCATTATACAAAAGTTTAAATATTATTCTTCCAACAATGAAAACACTGGTCCTCTGTACAGATTCCCTATCCGCCAGACTTAGCCTCAGAAATTCATTCTCGACTAACTATATTACACAAAATATTTAATTTCATTAATGACAGCCAACAGAATCAATATTTCAGTGATCTTAGCCTGTGTCCCTTGCAGTATAACATGTAATAATTAATTATAACATATAAAATGAGCGGGCTGATCGGGCAACCAAAGAACCGATATCTGACGGCAGTCGACATCGGTGGGTCACTGCCGAAGACTTTGTCACCCACATTAAACATAGAACGAAATTAAAATGGGATCAAAAGTGGTCAGCTATTTCAAAAAATAAATTGAGGGAAGTTAAAAGTAATGTCTCTCCATGGAAATCTTCATTCCGAAATAGGCGAAGAGAGGAGGTTGTTTTGACCCGTTTATGTATAGGTTACACACGCCTGACCCACGGTTACCTGATGTCCTGCGAATCTCAAACCGAATGTCAGACCTGCGGGAAACTTTGGCTAACAAATCGCAGAGCTAATGAGACGGAAAGAGCTCGTTTCAATATCTCTAACAATATTTGTTCCGCTTTAATTGACAATGCACATATGATCGATAAGCTTTTTGATTTCCTAAAAGAGAAAACAATCTATCCCAAAATTTAGAATTTACCATTGACGAAGCGAGGCGACTGTGGGACAAAATAGTACAAGATTAAAGGGTTTCGTCAATGAAAAATCCTAAATTTTTAATATAAGAGAAGAAATAGAATTGAAACAGGGATTGGGAATGGAAACTGCTTAGGAACGTTGAGATAGGAAAGATAGAAACCATGAGATGGAACTGTTCGAGAAGGATAATGATTTTAGTTTTGGAAAGAGGATTGAATGATTTATGGAGTTTGGGGCTTCGGGGAAGACAAGGAGGACGAGGACAGTTAATTTTTTTTCGTCAATAGCAGCCTGGACATCACTGATAATTTTAATTAGGTCTGATTGCGTGGAGTAACCGGGGTGACTTAGGATTACACTAGTCTTTCCAGAGGTTTTGAGAGATTGGAAAGGACTCAGATTGGGCGGGAATCTTTGGGAGAGGATGGAGTAGACTTTCCTCCAAGAGGTAGAGAATACTGAGTTCTGTAGAGGGAAATTGTAGCTGAAAAAGAGAACTGGGAGGATTTCAGGAAGACCTAATTTTATTAATTTTACAGGATTGCCATCTGCACCGGTGGAATCGATGTGGAATTTCATTAAAGCGGATAAAAGGTCTGTGGGTGCAAAAGTAGGAAAAGTAAAAGTCATCATCATTAAATGATGTCCCAGGAGAGAAACCGGAGGGAGAGGGGTGGCCGGGAAGAGTTGGGGGGAACAAATATAAAACGGTTAAAATCATTAGGTGAAACGGGAAAGACTGGTGAGGAAGGAGATCTGGAAGGTTCACAGAGGGAAAGTTTGTGAAGGATTAACCATTTAGATTTAGATTCAGGAGCTGATGCAAGGGCTTCATGGAAGTAGGTAGCTTTAGCTAGCCGAATCCTTGTTTGTGTCAAGTTGCGAAGCACCCCGCTTCATAGTCGTCAGTACGTCTAGTATGTCTGAAGTGTCTGCTGGCAGCATCACGCCTCTTTTGCAAATCCTTAATTTCCTGATACATCTAAGTGCGAAGGGTAGTAGTTTTAAGTCGAGCATGGATATCAAGGATACTGAAGAGGTTAGAAGTAAGAGTGTCAAACATGTTTTTAAAAAAGGAACTGGAATATAACCTATTCCAACAAAGTGATTCAACATCGAGTAGGATTTTTTCACGTATGAGATAATTCAGGTTGTAAATATTCTAGGTTGTATAAGACAGGTTTGAATATTATTAGATATTTAGATTAAATCATGAGATGATAGACCGGAGACTGGAAACTGAGAGGAGAAAAGAAGGTTTTGAGGAAAATCAATAATAATACTTATAGATCCAAACAATTATCACACCTGGAAGTGTGGTGAGTACGTACTAAACTAAACAGGGATAATGGAGATAAACAGAAGATGCATTTGGCACGTGCATCTTTGGTGTGAAATCCCTTTCATCAAGATGCAAGACGCACCTACATCCTGCGTCCAGGATAAATGCGTCTTGCGTCACACATCTTTGCTTTGAAAGGTTAGTTCTATACCCTGACTTTCTTAGTGATATGGGAAGTAAAGCCTTCTACACCCAGAATGCGATACGATATTGCTGTCGGTGATGATATTGTGATATATTTGTACTACTATCTACTACATTATGGCAGTCACACAGAGCGCAAACATAATCCGCAGCGATACTGACAAAGGGTATCGTATCTCCTGCACGTATCGTGTTCTTTGTGTAGGAGCCTTTAACAAAACTATACCGCTGTATCGCCGCGGACAGTGTAATATTATATTGCCGACACATATAGCGTTCTGTGCTCACGAGCCTTAAACCATTCAGTCTCCCTCGATTCCTATTGGAGAATTAAGGATCTTGCACACAGAACTAACGGATCCAGGACTTAATTTTGGGAGGGACTTCAGCCCGAAAGATTTTTTTTTTGTATGTATGTATTAAGATAATTATTTTGGAAGAAAGGCACTAAGTACCTATATGAAGTGGCATTTAAGTGATTCTTTAAGTGGTATTAAATGTAATAAGACGTTATAAGAATGTTTCAGAAGTACAACCAAACCTATTCTAACCAGAGTGGGAGGCTGAGTTTCATTCCGTGGGTTCACCATGAAATAAAAGTCAACCACTAGCCGGCCAGATTCGAACCGATGTCGCTTAGCACAGTCGGCCATCACGACTTGAAAGGGCATATTTATTTTATGTTTATTTATGATATATTTTGATCTGTTCCAGGGAGGAACTATTCTATTGAAAAATGTAATATATTTAAATTATATAAAAAAAGCTGAATGCCACAACAGACCCTCCTGCTGTGATGTACTAAATTGAAACATACTTTCTTTTGGATTACCAATGTTATCATGTAATCAATTTAGTCATATAACCTAATTGATGGGGTACAGGTAAATGACTAAAAATCCAGTTCTAAATTTATTGAAACATTGTTTTAAATTACATTTTATTTTTTGTATGTCATCTTATAAATATAATTCTAATTCAGAAATTAATATATATAAATCAAGAGATATAATTGTGGATGATGATTTGGGGAAAGAATTTTTACAATCAATTTTAATGTATTGCTAACGCAGATATAATGTGAATAGTTCTGGATGAATAATATTACTAAAATTTAAATAGGAGATGACTTGGCAAAGAAATGTGATGGGAAGGCTCCGTTGCTACTTTTCAGGCAGTAGAGGGGACGTCCTGAAATGCTTTCTACTTAACATGACCCTAGAAAAAACAATAATGGGACTGTTGGGTTCAAACTTCAGGTACGGTGTGGAACAGATCGGTACAAATGTTAGCATACGCAGGTGACAGAGGAATTCTGGGGAGATCCCTCGCCCTTGAAGCTGCTGCAAGACGGATGGTTGTCAATGAAGCTAAAACCAAGTTGAAAATGTTTCTCTTGGGTTCAACATGTTTGGGTAGTTCTCAGATTTTGTCTACCTTGGATTAATGGTAACCTGCAAAAACGATACTGCAGTGGAAATTAGGAAGAAAATATCGGCTGCCAATCTCTCCAGAAATTAGGTAGACAATTTGAATTTGTTATTAATTTGAACAAAACTTAACATTCGAAGGATTCTCATTCGTCCTGTACTGTGTTGTAGCTCGGAGACATAGACCACAATCAGATAGTGGTGGATCCAGGAATTTTCTAGTGGGAAGGGGACGCACTTGCGAAACAGGTGAACTCCATACACCAAAACTTTATATACATTTACTACTGGTAAAAAAAAAAGTATATAAAACAGATTATGGGCGAAAAAAAAAATAAGAAAGGCAGGAAGAATCTTATAACTAACCGTGCGGAGGTGAGGATAAAACAGGAAAGTCGATGACGGAGTACGCGAGGAGAGCTAACTATCTCAACAGACATACCGAGTTGTGGGATTGAAGTTTCGACCATTACCATAAGGGGGAAGCTTAACGAAATGGGGTTTCGGTACAAAAAAATTAACAAAGTCATCTCTTAGTCAAAAACTAATCTGTCGAGAAGGTTGGGACTGGCGCGAACTCTGTTGGCTGTACCACAGGACATGTGAACTAAAACAGTGTTTACCGATGA